GGGAGGAGAAACTGACTCACATTTGAGTCAGATCTGGGATCCATAAATCCTCGCTACAGTTCTGTGTTGCAGGAAAAATCAACATTTTTATTGGCCCAGGTCCTAACATATTCCTCCCACCCACCCTCTGCCCCGTTCCTGTGCCTGGAGCAATTTTCAAACTTTTAAAATCTGAGTAGCATTTCCTTTGCCTCAAGCAAAGAAAGGAAACCCCTCACTTCTTGCTTCAAACATTAGTTTCTAGCTTTAGGATTGAAATGCACCTGTGCCAGTCCCAGCAGGCTTTACAGGCTAGGGAAAAGGAAACAAAATGGCATGCAAGAGCCAAGGAGAGAAAATCTCTTTTGGCTCAGCTGACCTTGTCTGAACGTGTAGATAGGTGTTTTAGGACACAATTTGGTAAAGGACAAATTGGCAGTCCATATTGATGCTGTGACCATTGGGAAAGAAAGAAAGAAAGAAAGAAAGAAAGAAAGAAAGAAAGAAAGATTTTTTTTAAAAAGCGCACACCTGTATTGTAATTCTGAGGACTGAAATTTGATAATCAGGCAAATACCACACCTCTGGCTCCAGCTAGGAGCATGAGGTAAACACAGGAAACTATGAGGGATTAAGAGTTTCTGTTCCAAAGAAAGGTGACAAACCGTGAGACATGGCACCTTCATGACGAGCCAAGACTTCCAGATGTTTGTTTATACTATGATCCTGCATTGTTCAAGGGCACAAAGCTAATGAAAGCAAAAAGCAAAAATAAAAACTACCTGTGGAGTATTTTTGCAAAGCACAGATCTCTAGGGAAACTTCCTTCTTGCCATTTCTTTGATAACTCTAGGTGACCATACAGGAGGGCCGCACAGGTTCCCACTGGGTTTCTGCTGAAAACACAAGTACAGAAGTAGATCTCTTTGGAGTGGAGTGGGAGGCAGATGCTGTCACATGATGTCAGGGAGTGTCAAGGAACAGGGCTTGGGAATCTTAAGATGTGATTTGACCCATGCAAAGTGTTTCAGAAGATCATGTCACATAGATAAAATATCTCTCTCCCTCACTATATTTTACTACTTTTTTGGTTGTAGCATCAGGTTGATTTAAATTATTAGGGGGCCTTTAACAGCATTCCTAAAAAACATTTAAAGCATATGCTGGTAATCCTAATGTAGGTTAGATACTGTGAGAACATTCCCAGAGTTAACATTCGCAGAACATTAACCCCGAGTTAAAGATATAGATTAATATAGGACGGGGATTAATAAATTTGTGCTGGATAAAAGGTAGACTATTTAGCCCTTCACAGAACATGAATCACTCTTAGAGAGGGTACATATACTAAGATGTAGCTAAACCTTATGAATCATTAGGCCAGTTCTTGAATTCTCATATTCCTGTATTTATTTTATCTATTTCTGTCATTTTTATACCGCCCCACTCAGTGGAAATCCACTATTCTTGGTGGTTTTATAATACAACATAAACTCTTTCCCCTCCTTTCCCACTCATAAAGTGTAAAAAAATCATTATAAATTAAACGGTAGTGACAATCCTTGCAGCGAAGTTGGGAATGTGGGTCACATGGTTACCTGGAAGATGTCCTTATTTTAAAAAGTTCAGATTTGTGTAGTTCCTGAAAGTCTGGAGGGAGGAGGCCTGCCAGATCTCCTAAGGGAGACTATTCCAAAATACGGGAACCACCACCGAGAAGGCCCAGCTTCTAGTCAAAGTCCTCATTGCCTCTCTCTCAGTGTGGCCATCTGCAGCAACAAGGTCTGTGAGGATCAGGTGAAATGGGCAGCAATTCTCTGGGAGAGACATTTTGTGTAGTTCCTAAAAGTCTGGAGGGAGGAGGCCTACCAGATCTCCTAAGGGAGACTATTCCAAAATACGGGAACCACCACCGAGAAGGCCCAGCTTCTAGTCAAAGTCCTCATTGCCTCTCTCTCAGTGTGGCCATCTGCAGCAACAAGGTCTGTGAGGATCAGGTGAAATGGGCAGCAATTCTCTGGGAGAGACACTTTGATAGGTAACAAGATCCCAAACCATTAAGGGCTTTATACATCAGAACTAAAACTTTGTGCCTGGCTTGGAATGAAACAGGCAACCAATGCAGGTGAGCCAGGACTGAAAAGACATGGCCAGACTTCCTCAAACCAGAAATCAACGTGCTGACATCTCTGAATCAGCTTCAAGGGAAGCATCCCATGAAGAGCATTGTAGTAGTTGATCCCTGAGATGGCCAGCATGTGGACCAACATTATCTGGAACCTCCCATCCAGGTATGGATGCAACTGGTCAATCTGTTGATGCTGGCAAATGATCTAGTCACAGCTGAAATTTTAAGTTCTATTGAAAGGGCTGGATCTAGAATAACACCTAAGTTATGCACTCAGTCCCTAAAAGGTAGGGTCACTTCATCCAACCTAGGTAAATTCACAGCTACTTGATCCCCAACCCATCCACAACCTCCATCTTGTGTAAGGGAGGGTCACTTCATCCAACGTAGGTAAATTCACAGCTGCTTGATCCATTCTGGCCCCCAACCCATCCACAACCTCCATCTTGTGCAGGTTCAGCTCTAACCTGTTGGCCTTCATCCAATCCAGTACTGAGGCCATGCTATATTGTACTGTTCTTTTTATGTGTAATTAAGAAACAGAAGTTGGGGGGAGCATGAAAGAAGAGACAAGAGCAAAATAGACACAATGCTTTGTTTCCCACCTCCTCTTTGCACATACACTGTAGAAGATGCTATATATTTGTGCTGTCCCCCCTAAATCTGAGAAAAGTGTTTTGTCATATTTTTTTAAGGATAGGATGTCTCTGAGGCCAGAACAGCTGTGGAGTTGTAGGATTACTCAAGGAGTTTGTCTGTACAGTTCATCTGCAAACACAACTTGAATAATTTCAGCTTCAGAACAGAGTGCACCTTAACAATAACAAGAACAACATTATATTTACCACAAAAAATTAGAGGCCATGGATTACTGAAAATACAACACATAGTAGAGGAGGAAAAAAGAAGCCTAAATAATTATATCAATACAAAGCATAAAAAATTACTTAAGGCAGTGAAAATGGAACAAAGCATAAACAAATTATTTAAGGCAGTGAAAAGGGAGAATAAAAATGGAAACAAAGGCTCAATATAAGAAACAACAATGTGAAAATAAACTAAACCGTTGGAAAAATGAACTGCTACATGGACAACACCTGAGAAATCTTGATGGAAAGTATGATCATATTTAAACAATTCAATTTATCTGTAAACATCACTTTGGGAATTTAGTGTGTGATTCATGTTCATTGGTTTCTGTGGTTTTTTATCCAATTTCTTCATGTCAATTGTCAGGTCTAGGTATTTTGTTAGTTTTTCCAATTATTTGTTTTCAACCCTGGCATCCCCTGGAATTGCAAAGTCAATGATCCAGACATTTCTTCGTTCTACTACTATTATGCCTGGTGTGTTATGTTCAAGGTGTTTATCTGTTTGGATCTAGAAATCCCACAAGATCTTGACTTCCTCATTTTCTGACACCTTCTCTACCTGATGTTCCCATGGGTTTTTGGAGGCTGGCATGTTAAATATTTTGCATAATGACCAGTGAACTAACTTTGCCACTTTGTCATGTCTAACTTGGTAATCTGTTTGTGCAGTCTTTGGACATTCACATATGAGGTGTGATAGTTTCATCTTTTTCTTTAAGAAAGAAGCTGAAGGCTTGATTTTTGCTGCACAAGAACAAGCACTCCAAACCAATGTGATGAAAATTAAGATCCAAGGAATTACTGCTAACAGCAAATGTCAACTCTGCCAAGAAAAAGATGGAACTGTGTTGTGACTGTGAATGCCTCATCTGTGAATGCCCAAAGATTGCACAAACAGATTACCAAGTTAGACATGACAAAGTGGCAAAGTTAGTTCACTGGTCATTATGCAAAATATTTATCATGCCAGCCTCCAAAAACCCATGGGAACATCAGGTAGAGAAGGTGTCAGAAAATGAGGAAGTCAAGATCTTGTGGGATTTCTAGATCCAAACAGATAAACAGCTTGAATGCCAGAGGTGAAAATAAAAAATTGGAAAAACTAACAAAATACCGAGACCTGGCAATCGATACATCTCGGTTCTGGAAGAAACACATTTCAGTGGTCCCTTGACCTGGCAATCAATACATCTCGGTTCTGGAAGAAACACATTTCAGTGGTCCCTGTAGTCATTGGGGCTTTGGGAACAATATCAGGAAACTTCACACAGTACTATAAGCAGTTGCAGGTCTCACACAATCAGAGCTCCAAAAAACAACAATATTAGGAACAGCATACATGATGCGTCAATATTTAAGAGATGCTTAGGTTTTTGGTTAAAACTTATATCTGTTATATAATACCAGTCAATGTTTTTATAATGTTGACTGCCTGGTGTTTCTGAACAGCAACAGCAGCAGCAGCAGCAACAACAATCATCATCATCATCATCATCAACAGCAACAACAACAACTGTGGAGCTGGAAGGGACCCTATAGACCATTGAGTCCAGCCCTTGTCAAGGAGGCAGAGTGGGGAACTGAAGTCCCAACCTTTTGCTCCACAGCCAGATACCTAAAACATTAAACTATGTAGAAGTTCTATGTTAGCCTTACTTTATGTACCATGCTTACGTTGGATTCCTGAATTAGGCAAGAGGAGGATACAGTGGTGTTAACTATACTGATTGTGTGGTAAATTTTGGGAGAGCATTTGCTTCCATGAGACTCCTTAGTACCTTGCAATCTGTAGGTACAGAGAGGTGGATAAAACTACTTTCTCACTGCCATAATGATTTCCGCTGAATTTCATCCTTCTCTTCTCCAAAGAACCCAAGAGAACAGGCTTTGTGCCTGTTGTAGCATCCTCAAGTCTGTTAGAATATACTCAGGGAATGTGTCATTTAAGGTTTGATTAAACTCTATTCTGTGAAAAAAAACCCGCCAGTCATCAGTAAAAACATGTCTGCTATTCCTTCCAGCTTGTAACTGCAACCTGCACGCCCGAAGGTGTCGTTTTAATATGGAACTCTACAAACTATCTGGTCGCAAGAGTGGAGGTGTTTGCCTTAACTGCCGACACAACACAGCTGGTCGTCATTGCCATTACTGTAAGGAAGGCTACTATCGGGACATGACAAAACCAATCACCCACCGAAAAGCATGCAAAGGTATGTATGTATCTTTAGGAGAGAAAGAGTTGTGAAATAAATCACAAATCTACTCATTTCTTCCGTCCTCTGCTGCATGTAAAGGGGTTTTCATTTTTATAGCTTGGTCCTGTGCATCTTTGTGCAGAAGTCAGCTCTTCTGAGCTGGGGCATTTGTTGTTGTTATGTGCCATCAAATCAGAATGGATTTATAACAACCTTAATGGGATTTTCAATGTTAGTGAGGTATTTAAACACTGAATTTACCATTTCACACAACACACCCAATGAGTTTCCATGGCAGAGCTGGGGATCAAATCCAGGTCTCCTGAGTCCTAGTCCATTGCTCCATCCACTACACCACACTGTGTCCATATCCCTGAGTAAATGTACATAGGACTGCACACTCACTATCTGACTTTGTCTATATTCCAAACTGCATGCACTGATATGTCTTTACATTTAATTTTTTCTGTCCCTCTATCTGTCGCCACCTTTCCTTTTAACTCTAATGTTACACAAATGGGGAGTGGTGGGGCCGGTGGTGGTGGTTAAAAAGAAGGCACAGAGAAAATCAGATACAAACATACCAATCACACCTTTTTAAACAGTTTGTCTCCTCATACATGCTTATTATACTAGCAAACAAGCAAGACCCCACAAGCTGGAGACGCTTTTGGAAATTGGCATTAGCTGGAACATTGTTGAGAACAATGTTAAAAAGTTTTTGCTCATTTTCCATTGCACATTCATTCATCATGTACATTTCATGTACCTTACTGCACATGAAGGAAAGATCTTAGATGAGAACCATGTAATGAGGAAATGTGGGAACTCAACCTTGTGCACTATTGCCCGCAGAATTCCAGCTCACCAGTACGGTGTGTTCAGCAACACACAGGCTCTGCCACAGAGGGGAAGATCTAGGCCTTATTTCTTAGGGTTTTTGAAGAGGTGCAAGGGTGGAAGACTACCATCACTGTTAATTGATTTTTCAGTATTAGTCTCATTTATTTCTTAGGGTTTTTGCAGAGGTGCAAGGGTGGAAGTCTACCATCACTGTTAATTGATTTTTCAGTAGCAATACTTGCAAAGTTGAGGAATTGATTAGCTTCCAAAATAGTATTTTGCAGGCCTTTGTATGCCTCCTCATCCCCCTTGAGCTGGCTCCTGATTCCCCCATTTTCAAAGAGGATTCCACTCATTGGCTCAGGATGGTTCTGTGACGAATGGCCCTACTGGCTGCGGCACCAAGAACATTCCGACCCTTCTCTACTCCCATCTTTTACTCCAGTTTCCCTTTTGTGCAGGACCTGGAAGCTTCCCAGAAGACTGGGAGTAGCTTGGAGCAAGCTGAAACTGAAGTGGGGCAAAGGTTGCTAATGTAGATACTCACACAGAGGCTGAAGTTGTGGGCTATGTATGAGGAAAATAAATGGTTCTTTCAGCCCCAAATTTTGTCTTTTTGGCTTTGGGAGAAATATGCTACATAGAGTTATTTTCCCACCCTCACTTGGAGATATTTGTTGCCCAACAGACTTTCCCAAACTTCCTGACAAAGTTGTGACCTATGTATGAGGAAAATAAATTGTTCTTTCAGCCCCAAATTTTGCCTTTTTGGCTTTGGGAGAAATGATATGCTACATAGAGTTATTTTCCTACCCTCATTTGGAGATATTTGCTGCCCAACAGACTTTCCCAAACTTCCTGACTTTCAGCTGCGTTCCCTTTATTAAATCTGGTTTTGGAAGGTACGTAATTTAGAGGTATAATGCTTGGGATGCTAGTCCTGAAACAGTTGTTAGAGGAAAGTGATCTGGGCAGTATAATTCTGAAAGCCCCATTTGTCTGGACTATGCACTGTGTCCAGGAAAGCATAAGGCTTTGGGGACATTTTAAAAGAAGAAAGAGAGAGATCAGAAGTCTGTTTTGTTCAACTTGTCAGAGCTTATCAGCCTTCTTTCCTCCTTTTCCCCACCCTGTCCCCCTTCAAACACATAAGGACAGGAACACATACAGAAATACTGAATGGCTCCCAGTAGCTATTCAGAACACTTGTGACCAGACAAGTAAAAACAAAGACATGGAAAAGGGACCTCAGACAGAAGAGAAGAAAGACAAAGGTGTGAAAGGATTGTTGAGGTTATTCAGATCAGCCAAAGGGCCTCTCAAATTAAAAACAAAGGCTCACCTTCCCTCCCCTTCCCACAGGTGTGCATACCAGGAAACAGTGGGCTCCATTCAATAGGCTTAGTGACTGAGAGAACAAAGACTATTTATTTTACAAATACGCATAAACACAGATCTACTACACAGAGACCCATAAATTCTATCTCCATATCCGGCATATGTATTTAAAGCCCACATATATTCATTTATGATATATTCCAGACCAAGTAACAACAATAACATTTGGAAACATCTGAAGAAAGCAAAATAAAGTTAAATTTACAGGGATGACCATAATGCAAACATTTACTGTTGCCTATTCACATAAGATACAAAAATTAAAATGTTAGTCTAAATGAAATTGCTAAATCAGTACTGGCTAGGGCAGATAGGCTGAATCAAGTGCTGATTGGGAAGTCAACACTTATGGAAATCCCCTTATTTCTGTGGGTTACCTGGACTGGCAATTGAATTGCTGATCGGGAGTTCAGGGGCATAGGATCAGGATCTTGAACAATAATCAAACCAACTCCTTAGGGGCTATCATGAAAATGTTGTTATATCCTGCTTTTCTACTACAAGAGTTTTGAACAAGACACAACTACAGCATAATAATATAAACATGGAATTGAATCAACATGAAATCCAAATGCAATAACCAGTTGATAAAGCTTATAAAACACAACACAGCTAACACTTAAAAGCAAAACATAGAGAATTTAAAAAAAATAAAAGTAAAAAGACCCTTAACAGCAGCACGAGTAAAAGAAGTTACACATTTAAAATAGCCGTAATAAAAATTAAGTGTTATAAATTAGAAACGAGCCAAATGCCATAATTCCTCATTTAATGGTGAAAGGAAGCCAAAGGAAGCATTTTTTTTTGACCAATTTCACTTGAGAGCATTCCGAAATGATGGTATCATCACACAGAAAATGCCTTTTCTCTGTGTTTTGCACCTTCAAGTCACTTCTGACTTATGACAATTGAGGTGGAGGTTGCAAGATAGCGGAGAAGTTCAAGTACAAAGTGAGTATAAGGTCATCATTGCAGATGTATGGCACTTTTCAAGGAGTAGTCTGCCATTGCCACCCCTCAGAGATTTTCCATGGCAGAGCCAGGATTTTTATCCAGATCTCCTGAGTTTTGGTTCAACACTCTCTCCCATAGACCACACTAGCTCTCTTTTCTCTAGCAGTCACTTATCAAATCCACTATGGTAGCACTCTATATATGTGTGTGTACACACACACACAACATACAGTACACAAACGTATATGTGTGTGTGTGTGTGTGTGTGTGTGTGTGTATATATATATATAAAAAGAAGTAGATGGCCAAATTTACTGCTGTACAAAGTGAATATAAGGTCATCATTGCAGATGTATGGCACAGTCCTCTTATCACAGTGGTTAAACCTGAGTGATAGTGGATGCCCTTTCAAATAAGGCACTTCCTTCCACAATAGCTCACAGGCAATCAGAAACCAACATTGAACAAACTGGAAATATTAGATGTTGATCATAGTCACAGTGTATGTGACCTTATTTTCTTTTCTTTTTGGTCTTTACATTGGTATCTACCAACTCTGCTGTTCTCTGACATGTGCAAGGCCTTTCAAGTTTTTATTTTATTTATTTATTTATTTGATTTATATCCCGCCCATCTGGTCTCAAAGGCAACATGTGTCTCAAAGAAACATGTGTTATTTGACAAGAATTTCTAAATTTCTTCAGATTGCCTTTTTCTCCTTTTTTCTTTCTTTAGCTTCTCTTCAGTCATATCTCAAATCTACTGCTTCTTAGAATGTTCTCTGTTATATGTGAACATATTGGCTTTACATTTGACAGCAGTTCTCACTTTTTCACACCACAGTCCAATATTATTACTAAATTAAATTTCTTTTCTCTTCAGATCACTGTATACATTCTTCTCTAATGTTATATTTAAAAGCCCCTTGTTCCCTTTTCTTTCCATTTTACTTTTATCAGTGCTCTATCTCCCAAAAGAGCAGTACATGCACCATATGACTATTTTAACAAAAACTTTATTCTGCCTTTAACCTTGTCCTACAGTCAGCACAATGTAGTGTGTAAAAGAATGGTGTTATGTGTTTCAATATTTTAAAAGATCTGATGTTGAATCCCTTTTGATATATTAAATGCAAACTCTGTTTAGCACTGGCAGAAGTGGTTAATAGCTTATATAAGGCAGCAGCACCCACACTAAAGCTAGGCATGCTATTTTCTATTCCTATTGGTAACTGATACAGAAAGGAAGGAGAAGGAGGGTTGGGGATAAGTGGGATAAACCAGTTGGGAATGTTTGCATCAGTGAACAAAGAAACAGCAAAAAACAAACAAAATGGAACAAAACAAAACAAAAACGTGCTTACTGGAAGCTCCTTTGAGACATCCCCTCATGTACCATCTTGGAACTTTAGGCAGATTACATTTGGAACCATGAGAACTAAAATTGAAATCTGAGTTCCTCAGCAATATGGCAAGGGAAGCCAGATTTCAAAATTCATGGACTAAGTGCAGCATAGACAGTGATCCTGTTTATACTCTCCAAACTCTGTCTCTCTGTTAAGGCAAGGCCTTGTGTTTCAACAGAAGAGTCTGTCTGTGGGAGGCACATGTATTGTGTGCCCACCTTATTCATTTGATAGAAAGGAAACATGCCCAACTAATGTGGGCCACTCAGAACAGCCTGAACCTTTTGAATAAAATGGTGATTTCAGCTGCAGAGAGTAGCGGATGGGGCCAGGGTGTGTGGGGCAGGGGGGCGAGTGGTGAGGGCAAATCAGCCACACCACTGAATGTGGGCATGAAGGAGGGAGGGGGAAATAA